CATTTTTTCAGTAGTGGAATTTGGGCCCATTTTTTCAGTAGTGGAATTTGGGCCCATTTTTTCAGTAGTGGAATTTGGGCCCATTTTTTCAGTAGTGGAATTTTAACTCTGAGCTACAACTCTAGGCTTTTTAATTTTTATTTTTATATTAATTTTTGTCTTTTTGAGACAAGGTTTCACTCTGCAGTTCAGGTTGGCCTTGAGCTCACTTTGTAGCCCAGGTTGCCCTTTTCTTTTTGGTTTCTTTTTTGGTCGTTTTTTATTTATTTATTTTTTTTTTGGTTTTTCTCCGGTACGGGGAACTGAACACACGACCTTGCGCTTGCCAGGCAGGCGCTTTTGCCGCTGAGCTAAATCCCCAGCCCCTTGGTCGTTTTTTGAGACAGGGTCTTGCTATGCAGTTCAGGCTGGCCTTGAACTCAGTCCTCTTACCTCAGCCTCAGGAGTGCTGAGATTACAGGTATGTGTCACCATACCCAGCTTTTTGGTTTTTTGAGATAGGGTCTTGCAATGTACTCCAGTATCTATCTATCCATCCTGTATGTGTGTGTGAGTGTGTGTGTGTGTGTGTATGTGTGCAGGCACATGTTGTGTGAGTGTGTGTGTGTGTGTGTGTGTGTGTGTGTGTGTGCAGGCACATGTGGTACTAATAATTGAACCCAGGGCTTTTGCAGTGAGCTCTATTCTATCCCTTCCCCACATTTTTTTTTTTTTTTTTTAAATTTTGAGACAGGGTCTTGGGGCTGGGGATTTAGCTCAGCAACACAGCACCTGCCCAGCAAGGTCAAGGTCCTGAGTTCAATTCCTGGTACTGGAAAAAAACAAAAAAAAGAGACAGGGTCTCACTTAGTTGCCCAGGCTGGGCTTGGAGTGGAAATTCTCCTGTGTCAGCCTCCTGGAGTACTGGGTTACAGGTATTCACCACTACGCCACGTTCAATCCAGCGTATGCCTCAATAGTTCCTTCAGTAACTTCTGTGACAACTCCATCCCAGGACACAGGGAACCTGCGCTCCGCCTCTGATCCCTGCTTCCCCTTCACAGGGAAGCCAGTGCCGCTGTCTAGCTGACTCTGGATCCGGGCGGGGACTGCGGTCCTCCCTCTGCCACCACAGTCTGTGTCACTGCACCTGTCTCGTGGACGCGTGCCACAGCTGAAATCTTCTCTGGCCTCTGCCCGCCAAAGACCATGGAGATGAACTGGACGCAGTAGATGCCGAGGTCCAGCACCGCCCCGCCGGCCTGGGCCCAGTCTGTGAGCCGGGGCAGGGCTATGACAAACCCCATCTCTGCCCGGGCTGCTCGAAGGTCCCCCAACGTTCCCTGAGCCAAAACCGACTTCAACGCCTCTGTAGCAGGAAAAAAGCGGGTCCAGAGGCCCTGCGGAGCACAGCGGGGTGTGTGTGTCAGGCCCAGAAGTCCCCCTACTGGGTGCCAGGCTTGTAGGGGCACCCGCTGCTCCCCAGCTCCGAAGCAGGCCCCCCTTCCGGCCACAGCCCCTTGGTCTCTCCTGACTGCGCCCTCCCCGTATTAAACCACTTGTCCATGGCACTTTGCCGTCGCGGCCCCAGCAAGTTAACACAAGCAGCCTCTTCCGTGCTGTCCACCCTCCTAGGCCCCAGAGAGAGCTTCCTTCCCTGCGAGCTGCCTGTGTGGCCCCTACCCAGTGCCCTTTTATGGCTCCCCACTGCCTGACAGCAGCTCCCAGCTGTTGGGCATGTTTACTGGGCAAGTCCTTGTGTCCACACCCTATGCTGCGAACCACCCCTAAGGCCCTGGCAGGTGGCTGCCCTTTGTCCATGTTATTGAGCAGCAAGTGAGGCTGACTTGAGTCACATCACTCACCAAGGTCACACAGGGAGTAGGGAGGGAATTGTGTCTGGAGTCCTCTGACTTTGAAGCCAGAAACCTTAACATGTTCCAAGTCAAGTTCATACTAAATACATAAAAGCACCCATGCCTGCCGTAAGCCGTAACTCTGCTTCTCCTTTTGTTTTTTTTGTTTTTTTTTCCGGTACCGGGAATCGAACTCACGACCTCGCACTTGCCAGACAGGCGCTGTGCCACTGAGCTACATCCCCAGCCCCTCTGCTTCTCCTTGTGCCTCTGTTTACCCACGAAATTTCCTTTTCCCTTATGGCTTAGGGCAGCCCCTGCCTTCATCGTCGACACTGTGTCAGATGGACTAGGGCCTCTGTGCTCTGGTGCCACTGCCCAGCACCGAGGAAGGGGCAGACGGGAGGGAAAGGGAGGTGAAAAGGATCCAGATGCCTTATGTATCCACGCCACCACCCCATGACGACTATACTCATCATGCACTGCAAACATACTAATTAAAAAGAAAAACAAAAACTGACCAGGACTTTGTCCTCTGAAGTCCCTGAAACTGGGCATTGGGATCTTGAGCTCCTCAAAACTGAGACTACATCATACACACTATAAAGTCCCCTTAGGGCTGGGGATTTAGCTCACTGGCACAGCGCCTGCCTGGCAAGCACAAGGTTATGAGTTCAATTCCTGATACCAGAAAAAAACCAAAACCAAAAAATAAAATAAAATAAAATAAAGTCCCCTCTTTCCAGTATAGGATCAGGAATAGGAGCCTCCAGTACAAATGAGAAACTAATAAACTAGCACAGTGTTGACACCAGGAAAACACAGTGAGAAAAAGGCATACAGCAGCCCCATTAAATCTGGGCCATCTGCCAGGTGTGGTGGCACACACCTGTAATCCCAGCACTCAGGAGGCTGAGGCAGGAGGATCATTGTGAGTTCGAGACCAGCCTGAGCTACAAAGTGAGCTCAAAGGGGCTGGGGATTTAGCTCAGCAGCAAAGCACCTGCCTGGC